ATGCAGCTAGATACAGGGGCAGATGTTACTATCTTGCCGGAGTATATAGCTAAGACAATTCCTGGTATTAAGATGCAGCCAGCAGATAAAGGACTGCAGACATATGGGTCACATGGGTTGACCGTAAAGGGTATGGCTAAAGTAATGGTAAAGTATGAAGATCAGGTGCATGAAGATTTACCTTTATATGTTGTGAAAGAGAGAGACGAATGTCTTTTAGGATTGCAATGGTTATCCCAAATTAACTTTAATTGGCCAAAGGTGTTTGAGAAAGTATCCAAGGTAAACATAAGAAATTTATCATCCATAAATGAGATCATACCACTATACCCTGAAGTTTTCTCTGAGGGTATAGGTACAGTAGCAAATAGCCAAGCCTCATTAGCACTGCAACCAGAGGCAGCTCCGAAGTTCATGTCTCCCAGGAAAATTCCGTTTGCATTGAAGCCTGCTGTAGAACAAGAGATTCGCAGATTGGAGGCTGAAGGAACCTGGGAGAAGGTTAATTATTCAAATTGGGGTACACCTTTAGTACCAATAGCAAAAAGAGATGGCAGTGTAAGACTCTGTGGAGATTATAAAGTAACTGTAAATCCACAACTGCAGGTTGCACAACATCCGCTTCCAAATATTCAGGATATGTTAGCTGCTATAGGAGATTGCAGAGTATTTTCAAAGATTGATTTAAAATCTGCATTTTTACAATTAATGATGGACGATAAGTCACAAGAGATTTGTACACTGAGCACTCATTTAGGGTTGTTCAGGCCAAAAAGACTGCCATTTGGAATAGCATCAAGTCCAGCTCTTTGGCAGCAAACCATGGACAAGATATTCCATGCCTTACCTGGAGTATTTTGTTTTGTAGATGATATTTTGATAGCAGGAAAGGATGAAAGAGAACATCTTGAAAGATTATTGGCTGTTTTAGATAGAATCAAGGAAAATGGAATGAAAACACACAAAAGTAAATGTCACTTCTTTGTAAAATCCCTAGAGTATTTAGGCTTCAAAATTGATGGTAAAGGTATCCATAAGACAGATGAAAAGGTTAGGGCAGTAAATGATGCTAAAGTGCCAGAGAATGTTAAAGAATTACAGTCATTTTTAGGGTTAGTCACATTTTATGGTAAATTTGTTAAGAATTTAGCCACTATTGCTAGCCCATTGTATAGTTTGACCGCAAAAGAAGTTCCATGGAACTGGTCAGTAAAATGTCAAGAAGCTTTTGACAGGATTAAGGCTGAGATAACTAAAGAAACATTTCTGGTACACTACAATAAAGATTTGCCTGTAAAACTAGTGTGTGATGCATCGCAAGTAGGGTTAGGTGCAGTATTAGCTCACGTTATGGAAGATGGTACTGAAAGACCCATTGCTTTTGCATCAAGACTACTGAATAAGGCAGAACAGAGATATTCTCAGATAGAGAAAGAAGGATTAGCTTTGGTTTATGGTGTTAAAAAGTTCCACATGTACCTTTATGGCAGAAAGACCTTTACATTAGTAACGGATCACAAGCCACTATTAGCCATTTTAGGACCAAAGAAGAGTCTGCCGGAATTAGTAGCAGCTCGTTTACACAGATGGTCAATAACCCTAGCTGCCTATAACTATGATATAGAGTATAGGTCAACAGCTAAGATGGGGAATGCAGATGCTCTGTCGAGACTGCCAGTCGATCAGGCTTCCAGTGAGGATTCATCGAGCATTTTGTTGGTAGACGCATGCGAGTTGCCGGTTACATCGAAGCAAATTGCATGTCAGACTAAGAAGGATCCCATATTATCTAGGGTTTTACAGTGTTTGTCACAAAATAATAAGGATGTATTGTCGGAACAGCGATACAAGCCATTTACAGACGTGTGGTCAGAGTTGTCTGTTGTACAGGATTGTATATTGAGAAATACCAGGGTAATAATCCCGGACCGTTTGAAAGGTAGAGTTCTAGCGGAGTTACATGCCGAACACCAAGGTATTGTACGCACAAAGGCAATTGCTCGTACTTTTGTGTGGTGGCCTGGTATTGATAATGACATTACGACTTATGTAAGAAATTGTGAGGGATGTGCATTCCAGCAGAACAATCCAGCTCCCTGTAAGACACACCCTTGGGAGACACCTAGTACTCCATGGCAGAGAGTACACATCGACTTTGCAGGTCCATTTCGAGGTCACACTTTCTTGATTGTGGTTGACTCATTTAGTAAGTGGCCTGAAGTTATACCAATGACCTCTACAACTGCATATAGCACCGTGAGAGTGCTCATGTCCCTATTCGCAACACATGGTATTCCTGAGCAAATTGTGTCAGATAACGGACCTCAGTTTGTTTCAAGTGAGTTTGAGTTTTTGTAAAGGGAACAACATCAAACACATTCGTAGTGCTCCGTATCATCCCGCAACGAATGGTGAGGCAGAAAGATTTGTACAGACGTTCAAGTCTAACATGAAATGTAGAGGCAGTAGCAGATCTGGTCTCACCACTAACATAAACAGGTTCCTATTATCATATAGAACCACTCCTCATGCAACCACAGGTTGTTCACCTTCGTTTCTGTTGATGGGGAGGAGGGTGAGATGTAGGTTAGATGCAATGACACCAAAATTAGCTGTAGAACAAAAGAGTAAAACCGAGACTGTGAAGGACTATAGAGAATTTAACATTGGAGATAAAGTATTGATAAGATCATATACTTCTTCAGAAGAAAAATGGTTTGAAGGACAAGTTGTACAAAAGCTAGGTAAATTGCATTACATGGTAAAAGATGAGGATGGTCGAGAGATGAAAAGGCACATTGATCAATTGAAGTTATCACATCTAAAGAAGGCTGTAATCATAATTCCTTCTGTGCAGCAAGATCAATCAATACAGCAGGAAAAGAAGGAAGTTAAAGTAGACCAGGAGAATATGCCTGCTGATATACCTAAAAAGAGAGAGCTACCACAAAGGTCTACCAGAAATAAACTTCCGGCTAGGTATGCTGACAATTATATCCTTACGGGAAGAATGTAATTGTATCTATGTGTAATCAAGCCATTGTGATGGTATTAACTGTATGCTTCGGGGCAGTTGTAATACTTATAATTGTGATATTGTCAACTATTGTGATATTTGTGATATTATGTATTTATTCAATATGCTTTTGGGATTCTCAAAAAATTGTATTATCTTCCATAAGGGGGAAGGAAGTGTCATGTATTAACATACACTAAATGATATATGCTATTAACACTACAAGCTTCTATGTATAAATTGACTAACAATTATTATGTTTGTGATACCCGTGCAACGATGTGCAATCCGTTTTCTATGACCGGTCAAATGTATGCCCTAGCGGCGATGTATGTAACCCCTCAAGGCTTAGCAACAATAAAGAGTAGACATAGAAGACTCTTTCTACAAACCCTACATTAAACGGGTTTATCCAAGACTTCGCGATCCCTACTTTGGCGAACGAGGATGGGAGATAACGAAGCGCATATCTTATGATTTCAGGTGAGATATGAACTGATGTTATGCTGTTTGGGAGATAGATGAGAACATCCCCAACATATCCGAGCTGCGGTTCCTTCACGAATTCAGCAACCGTTCTTTTATTCATTCTTTTTTTTATATATTTATTGTAGGTTTATTCTATTGCACGTGTAGCATAAACCAGTATGATTCCTCGGCCGACTGGATCGCTGCATGCGTGTGTTAAGTGGATCAATGCTGTATACTCTCTGTAAAGTTTTAGAGTTCGGTCTATAAATGTTGCACCGTGTACACGGAATAGTGCTGTGAGATTGTTTAGTCTGATGAGGTTTTCTTTGAGAACTGTGTTCTCATTGGGGGAAATTTGAAAATTTTGTTGCCAAAATTCCCTATGGAGAACCTCCATCCCCTGTACCGAGTTAACATTCTGTCGGCGTGTTATACAGGAATGTGGTTGTTTTTCGTTTGAACCCATATTGGGGGAGCTCCAAAAAGTCTTGGGGTCGTTCGTGTTTTGACATAGTCTTTGCGTTTGTGATTCCCCATGTTTAATGTTTATTCATTACTCTAATCTCATGTGTTATTTGGGTCTGGAGTTCTCTGTATCGCGTGCGTAGTTACGTGTCTCAGCCCTTTTGTTACTGAGCTTATATAAGTGATTGTATTGTATTTGGAGCAATTTCAGATAATGTGTCTCTCTGTGGTGTGAGGGATAGTTTGGTATGTTGTTGGGGATGTTGGCCTTCCAGGCCGTCTGTATGTTTATGTACGACACGACGGGTGTTTATTGTTTATGAGTTGCCTCTCGAGGTCAGTTACATGTGTGTTTTCAAGTGCTTGTTTGAAGCTCTCCCAGTTTGGATGTTTTAAGGATTCTCGGGGTTGTGTTGGGACCATGATAGAGGGTTAGGATGGCCGGAGGGTGGTCACTGTATGTGACATCGTTTGTTCTGTGGTGGCATAAGTGTGCTCTGTAGTTTGCAAAGGCTATGTCAGATGTTGTTGCTGTGTTATAGGCAATGTGAAAGCTGGTGTATATAGACCGAGATGTGTCAGTCTGTCTTCTTGTATATATAAGAAAAAACCTCTGCTTACGTTGTTAGTGTGATAGTAGCCAAACAGTGGATGATTAGCATTAAAGCATATTGGTTTGCTTAAGGATACGGAGGATGTCTGGTTCTGGTATGTAATGTCTACGTGGAGATATGTATAGTGTTGTGAGTAAGATAAGTCCTTGTGGTGTATTTATTTCGACTGAAAAGATCAGTGGAAATTATTGATGATTTTATGTTGGACGTTGTTTTTGATCGCTAAAGCTACGCCATCGCTTTGTTCTTGTGACTTGTTGGAAGAATAGATTGTTTATGTGCAGATTTTTAGTGGATGAAGGCGAGGTTCAACTGTTGAACGTGTACATCTAAGACCTGACTCGTGTCCGAGTGCCCAGGCTGACGCAGTGTTTCACTGCAAAAAGCACCGCCGCACGGTGGTCTCAGTCGCCATTTTCATGGCCACTCGCGAT